AAATAGTATGAACATTCCTTAATTATAAACCCCAAAGCTGAAGATAGGCTAAAGTTTGTGAAAGTTTGAGAATCATTTTCAACGGTGGAAATCTCGAGTTGAAATGCTAGTTGAATTTCCATTGTTTCCAATACAGGAAACTAAACTTTCACTCCCAGTCCCCTTCTCTCCTTTCCTTTAAACCCGTTTAAACCATAGTTTGGGCTTGTCCCAGCAATTTTTCGGAAAATTTCGCAAACAAATCTACACTGAAATACAATGACGGCAATATAGACCAGTATACGACAGAATTTAGTGCATAGAAAGTAGGGAAAACGAAAATCGATGTGAAGCTCTCAAGTGCTTAACTGTGTAACTGAGATAAATCATTTTCGTTCCCCTTCAATTGCCACATTTTCTTTGCGCGCGCGAAACGAAACCGTAATTGATGAAAATAACGCCATTTATACCGCTTAAGGAACGGAAAAAGAGAAAAGCTTTGCTATGTCGAATGTTAGGGCGCACTTGGCCACGACGCTAAGATCGGAAACGAAATAAAAAAACTAGGTGCATTATGCGAAGTGTCGCGAATGAAGGGAAAAAGTAGAGGTAAAAAATAATCAAGGTTCTGCGCCTTCTTTTCGGTGTAGTTTGTTTATTTCCCGCAGTTTTCGCAATGATTTATTAATATGCAACATCGACGTGTATTTCTCTACTACTACCAATGCGACGGTTTATTTCTTCATCTAATTACTTAACTGTATGTTATGCCGCCTATAGGTCGGAAACCTTAGAGTATTTGTCCATAAGTTGGTAATTTTATCGACTTTCCACCAGAAGCAACTCACGTATAATATACATTGATATTTATTAAGAAGTAGACATAGGGATTTACGTGTATTGTTTTTCCATATGTCTACTTTTAAATGACAAAATCCCTTCTGAAGGGTGCTGCATTTTATGCAACCAAAATAACTTCTTAAATAATAAACATCTGGCCGTTAATAAATAGCACTGTATAGGGTGATGTTGTTGCCGATTAGGGGGGGGGGCGTGAAATCTAATCGGGGGCAAATAATGGTAAGTCAGCTGCAACATTTAATGTAGACTGACAACATTTTTACTTTCAATTTTTAACCATTATGATTTATTTCTCGTTTGTGACGATTTCAGACGATAGTGACCACATTTCCTACATTTTTTGGTTATTTTACGTGCACGACTGGCTCTGAAATACGCTTTTAGATGCGTTTAAAACCTGGCGGCGTCGGAAAGTCGTGGAATATGGCAGTTTTTATTATTTTTCGGTTTTTGTTATCGACGCTGCTATGTAGCGTGGGTTTCGCAAGATCAGCGACAAATTACACCACGTTGAGTCGGCTTATGACTCTCAAGCGATCTGATTGGGCGGAACAAATTCATTTTATTGGTGGAAAAGGTTTGCGTTCTGGAAAAAAGAGAAGTAGTGGAAAGTCAGTTGTTCGGGGAGACTCGTGAGAGAATTGGCGTCAGAAGAATGTTGAACCGTTGTACCGAGAACGAAGCTAAGTCAACCGCCTGTAATTTATCCGTAGGGAGAGTTTATTTAGTTATTCTAACTCGCGTCGAACCATTACCGAAGTTAACGCGACCACCTGTAATTTATCGCAGAAAACACTCTGCGATATACATTATACATATACATTATACATGTATAATCGAAACTTCGTGTTATTTGTGTAAAGAAATTCCCACATGAAAAAATAAACGCGTAAAATTGCGAATTAAAGTTTTAAATGGCCCTCATTTACAAAGGATGATTTACTATTTAGAAACAATAATTACGCTAAATACAAACAATGGTGGAAGTGTAACAATGAAACCGTGTAACTTTAAATAAAGTAAGTATAGTAATTTAAACACGCGGAAATAAAACTTCTATCATCGTCATATTTTGCGGTGCCGGAGAATGAATAATAAACTTTCATGACGTAATTCTCCGCACGCCTATAACAGTCGATTGTATGTTATTAGCTTTACAGGACATTGACGCTTGCCGTCGGATTACGTAATTTTTTTTCGTGACCGTGTTTCAACTTCAAATCAAAGGAGCCATTCATTTTACGAGGTCAGGATGTTGTATAGACTGTCATTTTCTATGATTGAGCTATTGGAGCAAGCAGTAGGTACGTCGAGTTTGACCGACCAAGGAATATGACGCTGTGAATTCCATTTACTGCAAAGGTTATTTAGCTTTGAATAATTTCTACAGTCCGCAGATGAATACAAAGGTCTGTAATCAGTCGATCTTGTCTTAATCTGTGCAATTTTTACTGGATTCACATTCTCTGCACATTCAAAAAGGTTTGCAATGTGCATAAAATGTAAGAACTCTGTGAATTTGGTACAGCAAAGGCTATGTAGCCTTCAACAATTTTCTACAGTCTTTAGATTATGTGAAACACGAAGGTAATCAATCGACCCTGTCTTAAACTGTGTACCTGTGTAACTGTGTCCACAAAATTCGCACTTTGCACAATAAAAAATTGTGTACCTTGCATAAAATGTGACTTCCAAAAGGCCTTCAAACATTTGTTATTATGTAGAATACGAAGGTCTTATATGTATTTAGTGGATCCTGTCTTAAACCGTTTCTTTTCACGTCATTTGCAGAGTCTGCATACTCAGAAAATTGTGCAGCTTCTATAAAATGTAACTTCTGCGAATTTCAACTAATATTGCACAGGCTATTTAGGTTACAAAACCGTCTCCACTTTGCAGGTTATGTAAATTACAAAGGTGGTGAAAAGTTTCAATAAGCCGTCAGTTACAAACAGGGGATGCATTCAGTTTCAAACTTCTTAAAAATCAGTGAATGGTCCCTTACTCCCAAAAAATTCGACTTTTGAGCAATTTGAAGCAAAAACTCGGTTCAAAATGCTCAGTCAAATTTGACAAAGGGAAGTTTGACCTAGTCTTTCGATGTCAGTGTTTAATTTTTCACGTGATAGACCCTCAGTTGCAAACAGGGAAAGCATTTTATTTCAAACTCATTTAAAAATCAGTGAATAGCCATTTACCTACAAAAATTCGACTTTTGAGCAATTTGAAGCAGAAAATCGGCCCAAAATTGGCCAGTTGAATTTGTAAAATGGAAATTTGACTTAGTCTTTCGATATCAGTGTTTAATTTTTCACGCGATAAGCCCTATTTTGTAAACAGGGGATGCATTATGTATGAAACTCCTTAACAAAATCAGTGAATGGCATTCGACCCCCCAAAAATTCCACTTTTGAGCAATTTGAAGCAGAAACTCAGTCTAAACCGCAAGTCGAGTTTGTTGAAAGGAAGTTTTACCTTGTCATTGCGTACCATTGTCAAATTTTGAACGCGATTAATCCTCGGTTGCGAACAGGGGATGAACTCTGGTTCAAGCTCCTATAAAAACCAGTGATTGGCGTCTTAGCTCCAAGAAATGGACTTTTGAGCAACTGTTCAAACAGTTCAGTCAAATTTGTCAAAGAGGACGTTTGATACATTCAATGTCAAATTTTTCCCGTGAGTAACATTCAGATGCAAACGGGGGATGCATTATGTTTTAAACTCCCTTAAAAATCAGTGAATAATAATAGGACTTTATTGGACACAAAATATATGGCGTTTACCCAAAAACAATCGACTTTTGACCAATTTGAAGCAGAAAATCAGCACAAACAGCTCAGTCGAATTTGGCAAAGGGAAGTTTGGCCAAATCTTCCCATGTCATTGTAAAATTTTTCATACGATTAACCCTCAGTTGCAAACATAGGATGCAGTCTTCTTTAAAAAACAGAGAAAATGGCGTTTTACTTCCAAAAAATTCGACTTTTGAGCAATTTGATGTAGAAAATCACCCCGAACAGTTCGGTCGAATTTATCAAAGGAATGTTTGACCTAGTCCTTCCATGCCAGTGTCAAATTTTTCACGCGATAAACCCCCAGTTACAAACAGGGGATGCGTTACGTTTAAACCGCTTTAAAAATCAGTCAATCGAGTTTCACCCCCCGAAAAATTCGACTTTTGAGCAATTTGAAGCAGAAAATGATTCCAGTTTTCTGAATAAAGAAGGCCTGTTTTTGAGCATGAAGATTCCTTAGATAGTAAATGAGTACCGTTTCAATTTGTTATTAGCGCAACCCACTTTTTTGTTCGTCTATCTATATGAAACTATTTATTCCAAATATGCAAATATCAAAAATTAAGTTGTTGCCTAAACTCGGACAAAATCGGTATTTAAGCATTAATTTCGTTGGCAAAAAGACTAAACTCTATTCTTTGATGCCCAAGAACATATTTTTAGCTAACTTCGTTATTTATGCAACAATCTTCTTGGGGAAAAGGCCAAAGGCCAAGGATCCATGTGTATTTTTGGTGACCAACATATTTTTGGTCAATTATTATTTCTGTACCGATTGTCTTGGCGAAAAGCACCGCGTTGACTTTGGGTCCGGCTTATGAGTTTCAGATGTGCACCTATTTAAAACTAACTTTGGCATCCATCACTTTGTTACTCAAAATATGTCTATATCCTTATTTATGCACCAATTTTCTTGGTAAACAGAGTAAACTCGATTGCTCGGTGCCCAAGACGTGATCCATATTGTGTATTTTTGGTAACCGAAATATTTGTACCCGAAAGATGTCAAAATGTGTTATTAATCACCGATTTTGTTGAAAAAAAGACCAAACTATACTGCTCGATGCTCAAGGAACTGATCTCTATGAATTTTTGGTGGGCAAAATATGTTTAACCAAAAGATGTCAAAGTTGTTATTTATGCACGCTGGAAATACCCACGTGGTAGTGGTTTTGGATTAAATGTTTCAAAGATGGCGGTGGTTCTGGAAGGATTGGTAGTCACAAAAGCTCTACCTACCATAAATGAACATCAAATTCCTAGAAAACAGCAATAGCTATTTTTCAATGTTGTGTTATAAATAGTAACACTACCCACTGCTTAATTATTCGATGGCTTCTTAAACAGGGTTAAATTTTTTAAAAATTAAAAAAAATCCTAGTTTATTTCATATACAAAAATATCAAATACACATCCATTTCTAATTATCCGATGTGTCGACGATGAGGTGAATATCAGTCATCCGCAGAATTCTTTCTTTGGAGAGACGCGAAAGCTTTGGAAATGCTCCTGGGTAAGTTTATCGTTGTACATGCATGTGTCGGTGGTGATGACGCAAACGGCGGTATTACCCTCGGCGTAGAACTTTTGCTCACATTCTGGTTGCGTGATGTTATATTCTTGAAGGAAGTCGTAGAAGCGTTTAAGGCAGGAACACGCCCACGGATTGCCGTAGGTGGTGATTTCGCGTACTTTCCGTAAAGCTTTGGTCGTCTCTTCGGTTATATACATAAAGGCGTTCGAGTGCAAGTTAAGTGTGACGATCGAGTTGGGGTCCGGAAAGATTGTGGGCGAGATGGAGGTTAAGTAGTTGTGGTTCAGTAATAGGTGTTTCAGTTTGAGGAACTGCCCGAAGCTGCCCTCGGCGATTTGGTCGATTTCGTTGTGCGACAGGTCGAGGGTTTCTAATTTCGGCATACCGTAAGCTATTTTAACGCCTTTCAGTCTATTGTTCGACAAATTGAGTTCCTTCAAATTCTTCAACGGTGCAATCACCCCCTCCTCTATTTGCGTGATACCGTTGGACCCCAAGTTTAGGTGTTCCAGATTTTCGTGGAAACATTCATCGGCTAACGACTGCAGGTTGTTGTTCGAGAGTGTTAGGTATCGCAAGCTAGGCAAATTTAGTATATTTAAGGTGATTGTACTTAACTTATTGTGCGATAAGTTGAGGACGGTAACAGTTGATCGCCTGAAGAGTTCAGGCACGATATTCTGGATTGAGTTATGACTCAAATCCAATTTGTAAATGTGTAAGTCGGCGAAAGCGAGGCGAGGTAGGACCGTCAGTTGATTTTTATAAAACTTCAGAAGATCAAATCTTTTAATCCCATTAAAGGCCCCCACCTCAATTGCGTTGATTTTCTCGACGATTATCAGCTCTTGAATGTTAGGTGTTTTGTTAAAAGCATCCCGTGTGAGTACCTCGTCGAGAGTATGCGAGGTCGTTTTGTTGCACTTGTTCTGCGAGATTATTAAACTTTCCCAACTTTTCAATCCGTGAATTTCAACGTCTTTCACTTTTTCACATTCGTACGTGAAGGTTTTTTCACATTTTGTGTGCACTTTCGCCATGAATACACATAATAACATTAGTCTTAAGTACATCTTTACCGAGACAAAGGTTAACTGTTACTGATATCGGCGAAAGCAAGTTTATTTAATCTCTGTTGATTATGCAGTCGGCGTAAACAAATGATTGGTATTACATCATGGTTTAAACTATACGGATTTCCCAGGAGTGCGCAATCGTCATGGGACGATAGACCTTTATTTAACAGGTTTAAGGTTTAACCCACCTCGACTACCCTTTCATATTTGAACGCTTGCACTGGTGACGCATGGCAGTATGGGAAGACCTGATTTGATTGCCAGAATTGGGACTGCACCTGGAGAATTGCCAATATACTTAATCGCTTTAATTCCAAAGAGCAAAATGATTGTGCGGGCAGGTGGGGGATTTTCGAAAATTTAAATTTTAATTTCGCAAATTAATAGGTGGGGTCAATGTTTTGATCGTCAACAACAACAAATCTCCAACCGCAATGGTTTCTACACTCTTATCTTTACGTAAATAATTGAAAATTATGTGGACAAGACTGAAGCTTAATCTCTTTATTGACATGACATGTAGCACAGGCAAATTGTCCAAAATAGGCAAGAAAATTGCGAAGTGGTTGAAACTTGGTATAGACATTTGCAAATTTGTATATTTCAAGGAACCAAGGAGTCGCTAACCACAAGAGGTGTACTGTACCGGAGTGGTCATGCTCAAAAAACGTAGAGTGAACTGGATTTTCACGTTTTTAACAGGAAGTGGCAGTAAAATTCTATTAAAAAATACGTTGGAGCATAAATTTATATTGAAATATTTTTTTCCTAATTGTACATGTGTTATTAATCGTGCAGCACTGAATGTCTGAATCTTCGGGATCTTCAAGATTTTCGCAAATTTGCTCCATGTATGCATTGAGGCATTGTACTCCCTCACAATTTCAGTAATTTGCGAGAATCTTAATCTTGCTTTTCTGCACCCACACCTGGAGGAACAATCAGCTGTACAGGGCGAGTCAACGATTGCGCGGAGTAACTTAATGCCTTGAAGATAAGATTTTTCGATAGAATGCTTTTGTATTATGATATGGTTGAATATTCTTCACATTTTAAAAATATTTGGAATTATACAGGATGCGTTCACAAAGTAGGGCGCCAAAATGGTACATTTTTTTAAATAGAACCCCCTGATTTTGAATGCATTTTTGAGTTCTACGTGTAATTGTACGTCTTTCTTATTATATGGTTGATATCCGAAAAACTAGTATTTTTAAAGATAATTCGATTTGTAAGAAAAATTGGGCATTTGCAAGTGTCAGTATATTGTCAAAATTATTCCTTAGTGACCAGGTTTTATATCTTTTATCCTGAGTTAAGTAAAAGTCAAATACATCTACTATAAAACATTAAAAAATAGCTTACAGGGTGTTTTTTTTTCTAGATCTAAAGTTACAAAACTTCATATTAAAAAATCTCACATTTTTTTAAATGGAACACTGTATATTTTTGTGTTTTTTTTACCTCTTCCTTCTTCTTCAACTTTTGCTAATAATGTCCTATACCTATCTCTGATATTTTTCAAAATATCTTGGTTTTCCTGGTTTTTATATTCTAATCTTAAATAAGTTATATGTAATTACATAATAACGAGGTGGCCATGCAAAAAAAAGGCAATTTTTATCTGCCTCGTCCAAGGCTAAAATCATATTTATTAATTCATTTTTCTAATAATTCATTTAAGTCTAAAAACTGGAGAACAAATTTGATAGTAAAAACATAAACAAATATCTTGGTTTTCCTAGTTTTTATATTTTAATCTGAAATAAGTTCTAATTTACATAATAACGAGATGAATATGAAAAAAATAAAACTAATATCACTGACTCAATGACATTAGGAGTTAAATTAAATTTGCTTTGTAGTCAAATGTTTTACTTATTCTCCAGTTTTTGGACTTAAAATAAATTGTTTGAAAAATAAATTAATCGATATGATTGGACGAGATAGATAAAAATTCCCTTTTTTGCATGGCCACCTCACTATTATGTAAATTACATATGACTTATTTATAAGATTAGAATATAAAAACCAGGAAAACCAAGATATTTCGAAAACTATCAGGGATAGGTATAGGAAATTATTATCAAAGGTTGAAGGTTTTTGGAGGCGATAAAAGATGACAGAAAAATATACGGAGTGTTCCATTAAAAAAAAAGTGAGATTTTTTAATATGACGTTTAGGAACTTTGGACCTACCAAAAAAACACCATGTAAGCTATTCTTTTAATGTTTCATAGTAGATGTATTTATTTGACATTTACTTAACTCAGGATAAAAGATATAAAACCTGGAATCAAAATTTAAGTAATAACTTTGACAATATACTGACGCTTGCAAATGCCCAATTTTTCTTACAAATCGAATTATCTTTAAAACTACTAGTTTTTCGGATATCAACCATGTAATAAGAAAGACGTACATTACACATTCTATTTCAAAAAATGTCCATTGTGGCGCCCTACTTTGTGGGCGCACCCTGTATAATTCCAAATATTTTTAAAATGTGGAGAATCAACAATATCATAATACAAGGCATTCTATGGAAAAATCTTATCTTCAAGGCATTAAGTTACTCCGCGCAATCGTTGACTCGCCCTGTACAGTTACACAAAATAAGGTGTAGTACCCAATTGTGGTACTCGCGTAAGTAGTATTGTAAAGAGTGCGATTACACGATGAGATTTTTTCATGCGATTTTTGTGTCATGATACAAAAATCTCTGCAACCATGAAATTTACGGTGAAAGCGATAGTGAGATACACGAGATATTAGAGAAATGTTTCATGACACATTGCCTCACGCAATTTTATTTTGTCAATAAGTCTCAACGTGTAAACGTGATATGACTTCACTGGTCTGAGACTTTTGTATCAGCAGCACGTGAGAGTTTTATTGTGCAATCTCGTGTCTGTATTGGTAGTTTTTCGAGGTAATATTTGTCAGCCAAGAATCGAAGTGTCACAAGGCGCTCTGCGGTAGGAATTGAATTTGGGATTAATGTATTAAGTCGACTTTTTTGAAAGAGTTGCATATGCATAAGCAGTAGCTTTTCGCTTTTTTGGTCACCGAGGCAACACAGTACAAACAATGGACATTCGAATTTGGTCCATGATATGTACATACGTCCATGTACGGAAAATGAGCATACATTGCATAACCGCTTCCGTACATAATAACGGCGTGTAGTTCTTGCACACATTGAACATCTACTGGGCGTCCATTATATAGGTATGAAATTATAATGTATCTCAAATCTCGAAAAAGCGATCGAGAAATGGTTAAGAAGAGCAAAAGAAAGAAAAGACAAAAATTAAATTTTTGTGTATTTTGTATATACGCACTATACAGGGTGTTTTTTTGGGAGCTTTAGTTGAACGTTTCTGGGATAGCAAATTTGGTAGGTTTTTGAAAATGTGTACTTAGGACTTACTCTAACGCCGAATCGATGTAAAATATTTTCAAAATGTCGCACTTCCGGAAACATCGGAAGTCCATAGTAACTTCGTTATTTTAAATGGCAACCCCTATTTTTTATTGCATTTTTGGATTCTACGTGAAATTTCAGTTCTTTTGATACCCACATGTGGATATCTGCCATTTATGGTTTTTAAGTTACATTACTATAAGCAAATATGTTGCAATGTGTATGCGTTGCAGTGGACACGAAAGTTTTGTCTTGTCATTGGACAAAACTTTCGTGTCCACTGCAACGCATACACATTGCAACATATTTGCTTATAGTAATGTAAATTATACTGATTGCAAATAGAAATATAAAATAAAAAAAAATTTTTTTTGACTCTATGAAAAAAAAAGGCGGCTGCCTTGATAATTGATTACTTAAAAACGGTTATAGTCATGGCAACCCATTTTTATCAGTGCATATAGAATGAATGGGGCTTTCTTTTAGTGTACTTAAAAGTTAAGTTGCGTACAACCGCACACACGGAGATTCAAATTTAAGAAATTTCAAAGTCTATAAACTCAGTTTTTTTAAATGGAATGACCATGTTCTTACTATTTCATGAGATCGAAATTGGCATATTTTGATATTACGTGTTCCTATAGCTATCTTTAGCAATTTCTGATTTATTCCCATTTTATTGAATTGATCTCGGAATTGATGCCATTTTTTTTCGCATTTTTTTTAGTAGTTGGCCATGATTTTATAATAATCGAATTTTAAGCAAATCAAGGAAAGGATTCTTTAATATCATTGATTCTAGTCTAAATAATTCATTAAAGTCATTTATTAAGGATATAGGAGGGAAAATTTTTGAGAAATCTAGACAGAGTCGTTCAACTGAATTTCTTAAACAGCGTATAGTCTGGAAATTCAGAGAGGTAATATCTGTTCTAGCAACAATTCCATACCAAAAATGTTTCAACGAAGTTTTTTATATTTTTCATTGAATTTATTTTGTATTTTGCAATTCAATTCATTTTCTTAAATATTCTCTTGTAGAGCTTTGTATCACTTGTGCTTCAACAGTTTGCAGTGCATTTAGGGGTACAACATTTTCAAAATTCATACAATTTCGTTCCAATGTTCGAATGAGTGTACGGCAAGCACGTGCCGCGATTCTGTCCATTTCACCATAAATAACAATTAAATTCCAAAATAGGTGAAACCACTGCCAGTCATTTTTCGAATTTTGAAAAACTTATGTTATGGGGTGTTTACATGGGTCAATTTTCGCCGTGTGATTAATCGCTTCACAAATCGCCTCACAAAGCCGCATCGCCACCTCATTTACACCAAAGAGTACCAAAGAGTGTTGAACAGATTTTAGTTACCAGCCGCATGCTGCCGGTCGCCGCACGGACAAAAGTCTTGCGGCCTAGCCGAATTGACATTAGACGGTCGATTTTTGCCGCGTGGCCATGTCGTGCGACGTGCGACGAAAATCGACCCGTGTAAACCCCTTTTTAATCTATAACAGTAGGTGGCGGATTAGTGTCACTATATTTCTTTAAAATTCGATAGTTATAAAATCATGGCCGACTACTAAAAATAAAATCCGAAAAAAATAGTGTCAATTCAA